CGACCACCAAAATTTAAAAGAAGGCCAAATTTCCGATTACACCCAAAATACAAATGAACCCCATATTTTAAAAGAACACCAAATTTCAAAACAAACCCAAATTATGAATGAACCCCAATTTTTAAACAATTGTCAAAGTTCAAAACAAACCGAACTTACAAAGAAACCCCAAATTTTAAAAGAACGCCAAATTTCGAATGAAACCCAATTTACAAATCAACCCCAAATTTTAAAAGGAAACCAAATTCCAAAGAAACCCTAATTGGGAACAAACCCCAAATTTTAAAGGTTGCCAAATTTCCAAAGAATCTCAAATTACAAATGAACCCAAAATTTCAAAAGAACCCCAAATTTCCAAAGAACCCAAAATTATGAATGAACCACAAATTTTAAAAGAAATTTAAATTTCCAAAGAAATTCAAATTATGAACAAACCCCAAATTTTAAAAGAACACCAAATTTTCAAACAAACCCAAATTACAAACGAACCCCAAGTTCTTAAAGATTACCAAACTTCCAATGAAACCCAAATTACAAGCAAACCCCAAATTATGAATGGACCCCAAAATTTAAAAGATCACCAAATTTTAAAAATAACCCAAATTACAAATGAACCCCAAATTTCAAAAGAGTTCCAAATTTCCAAACAAACACAAATTCCGAACGAACCCCAAATTTTAAAGCAAGACCAAATTTATGATCGCAACCATTTAAGAAATGAACCCAAAATTTTCAGAGAACACCAAATTTCCAAACGAACCCCAATTTTTAAAAGATCACCAAATTTCCGAACAAACCCAAATTAGAAATGAACCCAAAATTTCAAAAGAACCCCAAATTTCTAAAGTAACCCAAATTATGAACAAATGCCAAATTTTAAAGCAAGACCAAATTTCCAATGAAACATTCAAATTACAAATGATCCCCAAAATTTTAAAGAACAACAAATTTCCAAAGGCACCCAAATGACAAACAACCCCCAAATTTTAAACGATCACCAAAATTCCC